AAGTATTTAATGTATATACTAAATAGGAATATATTTGGTATAATCAAATACCAAATATAATCAAATAAGTCAAAGTGTACATTTTTATTTGGTATTTAATTTTTTTATTATTAAAATCTTTTTGTTATTACCTTTTTAAAATAAAACAAATAAATAAATCAATTAAATAAATAAACTATTATAATACCAAAATAGTAATGACATTTAATGCAGTTGACTTTTCTGGATAGTAAATATAGTAAAGAGAATATCCTTTTATATAGTATAATACAGAAATAGTAATGTAATAAATGCTGTTGACTTTTCTGGCTACTTAATTTGGTAAATAGTACCCCTTTTTAATATAAGTATAGATAATTAAAATTTTGAATATGCAAATGCGTAGAATTTTATATGTAAATGGTGCAAATCTATGTTTTGAGATGACAGAGAAAAGTTGTAAAAGTAAATCGATCTCAGGCGGCCCGGATAGTAAGGCCGGCCCAATCTCAAAATTGGCCAGAATATATAGTATATGGGCTGGCCTATTCTTGAATATGACACAGCCTACCTAACTTAAGAAGTTGGCTTGTAAGAATTGGGTTGGGCCCCACACGGGCCCTGCATCCGAAGAAGATATTTATTTTCTGGAACAAAAAAAAAATTGATTTTTAAGTCCACACACGTTTAAAAATCGAACCCATTTAGAAACAAAATGTTGATAACAACCACCTCAAAAATTCCAGCCCACAACTGTTCTTCATCTTCTTCCATTTCAGCTCCGTTTTCATCAACTAAATTTTCAGAAATCGTTCCGCCGATCAACCGCCGTGTTCTTCTCACGTCACTCTCTCTCACGCTAACCCCATTTCTGACGTCACCACCGATCAATAGTCGCACACACTATGGCGATTTGTTTTCTTTGCCGGCATCGGAGGCCCGCGGGCTCTTTCAAATGCCACCCGTTCGCCTCACCAATCGGTAAAATTTAATTTTTTTTCTGGTTTTTTTTATTGTAATAATCGTTTGTCTAAATGTGCGGAGTTTGTGATTTTGTTGGTGGAAAATCGTAATTGTTATTTTGGAATGGAACTTTATGTCCTGTGGTGAAGTTTGAGCTGAGATAGATCCATTGTGTAGGAAAGAAAGCGTAGAGTTATCCAATTGTGTAGGAAAATGTCACAAATTCTCAGGTGAGATACAGCCTAACCATTAGATGGTCGACCCGCGCCATACTCCTTGAACCAAAATTGCGTACTTATACTATCAAATGTCATACTTTGTTTTGTGATGTTTTTTTTCTTTATGATTTTTATTAAAGCAAAGCATGACATTTATTAATGAAAGTATGTAAAAAAAAGTATGTTAGGCATAATGCTTAGTTCGGTCTAACACAAGACCTACCGGGAAAATGTTGGGTGTGTTTCATGAGTTGTTAAACGAAACAAGCTTCTTGGGAGCTCAGTTCGGTAAGGCTAGTTACTAGTTAGGATTGATATATTGGGGTTTACTCGATTTCTTGAACTCTTAATATGATTTGGCTCGGCTCAAGCCCAAGCTTGAGCATTAGAAGCTCGAGCTTGGCTTGGCTTGTTTACCGCTCTAATTATTTTTATCCTTTTTGGTTCCCTTGCCCCTCAATACTAATAAATAAATGAATTTTTTTTCTTCTTTGTTGATATTGATACATAGCAGAGCCAGTTTTGTTGATTTAGTGCCATTTATAAGGGGAAAAAATCTAAACAATAAATAAATGATTTTTTTTTTTCCAGTTTATCTGGTTCTAAAGTACTAGATATATTTCAATTGCAGCATTGAAAAACTTATTTACAAACAAATGATTTTTCTGTTGATCAATTCTTTCCTACTTGTACACTTTGAAATTTGTGGTCTTAACTTTGTGGGGTTCTCTGTTTTTTTTATTTTTTATTTTTTTCCTTTTTGTAAAGGTACTATTTGGTGAGAGCAGGGGAATCCGAATACGAAAGCATTGGCATAATTAACACAAATCCGGTGGCTAAAACATCCATGGACAATGGGTTATCTGAAAAAGGCAAGAAACAGATAGTCAGGGCAGCTTTGGACTTGAAATCAATGGGTGCCTGTGAAAATAACTGCTGGATTTGGCCTTCTATTACTCAGAGAGCTTATCAATCTGCCGAGATTATTGCAGCCGTTAATGGCATCAACAGAAGGTATTCGTGACTCGCTCACAGAATTTTTTCATTTTTTTTTAAAAAAAAATTGTGTGTGTTGGTGTATTTTTGCATTCTTGGTGATCCTTTTATTTTGTTTATGGCATAAAATATGTTCTTTATTGCTTTGGACCTAAAAAGATAAAAAAACACTGGATTTTGTTCGCTGCCTGCGGGTAAGGCTGAAGATAATCATTTAGTTCAATGTTGTAACATTAAGCAATAATGATATGATTATCAATTTTATTCTTACTATGCGGTTGCTTATATTATCGAGCTATATGTGTATAATAGGTATGCACTCTGTCGTGTCTATAGCAAGAAATATTCAGAATTATCATTTGGATTACTCTATCGACAAATTTCCTTTGAAAAGATACTACTTGAGTCAAGCTTTCCTTGTCATTATTAATCCTTTTTTAATAATAATGCAGTCATATAGTGCCCGAGTATAGCTTCTTGGATGCTCGGGGTTTGGGAGTGTATGAAGGAAAGAAGCTCGACTCTGTCTCGGAGGTTCGATTGAAAAAAAAGTCAAAAAATAAAAAATCCAACTCTTAAAACTACCAACACGTATTGACTACTACATACAAGTACATGTGTAATAAAAGAAAAACAACATTTTTTTATCTCAATTTTTTTTTTATCCCCCTTTTTTTTAGGTGTATGCTTCGGATAGCCTTTCACCGAACATAAAGCCGCCTCCAATAAATGACGGGACACCAAATGAAAGCGTTCAAGACGTATTTGTTCGTGTCACACAACTCATGTCCATTCTCGAGACTCAATATTCTGAGGACACTGTCATTATAGTTTCGCCGGATTCCGATAACTTAACCGTGCTACAAGCCGGTTTGGTTGGCCTTGAATTACGAAGGCATGTGTTTTGTATGTATATTCTATATCTATAAATACATTTTATTTTTTTGTGAAATTGCTTGAATTTTTCTGGTATTTTTGCAGGCACATGGATCTTGCTTTCAGGCCTGGTGAAGTGCGGTTCATTGATGCAAGTAATGTACCAACTTACAAGCAACCTGCATCTGCTGTTTATAAATGCTTAAACCCTCCAAGCTGCAATTGAGTTTCTTTCTCTTCGCATTTGAAAAATCAGTTCAAGATTTTATGATGTGTGTATATATAATTTGAACTGTAAAAATCAATCTGATTTTGGATTTTCCAGAGAAGCAAATAGTGTATTGCTGCTTGATGGGGATATTAATAATGACTGTAGTTTAATAAATATATGTTGATTGACTGTTGTTTGCAGTTTTGTATCCTTGGAACAAATTGAATAGAGTTGTATGTTATAAATTGTTCTTAGTGAATGGAACTTATAAATGTGCAACTTTTTGAAAATGCAAATTTCCTGCTAAAATGTTTGGCCTTTAAAACTTGTGAATGACGAACAAATATAAATTCTATGTAAGGCGGTCTAACAATTAGAATGTTGACTCATAATTGTACTTTGTGAACAAAGAATTATATTTTCAATAACAAATGTCGTATTTTTTGTTTATGTTATTATTTAAAGTATGTTATTTATCCATGAATATATGCCTATTTACAAAAGCAGTAAGACTGTTGATAGGCGGAAATAATTTTCTAACATGTTTACTTTCGAACTGAAATATCATACTCTAAACAAATATAAGCAAAGTATGTTATTTCATAGTATAAGTGTGCATTTTTTTTAAATAGTATGAGTGGTAGATCAACATAACGGTTACATCATCTCATGCAAAATTAATTTGTGTTGCAAAAAAATTGTAACTATTATACCTGCCTAACACCAACATACCATTTAAACAAAAACAATTGCTTTGTTTTTCACATAACAAGACCCAACCATATTAAAGTTGGCCACAAATAACACACCCATAACTTGCAAGAAAATGGATATAATTTCATAATAATTAGTTTGGAACTACCATTGAGGCATGGAGAATAGGGGTGTTTACGGTCCGGATTGGTCCGGTTTTAGCTCAAACCATGACCAAATCGTACATAACGATTAATTTTTTTTCTTGTCCATAATCGGACCGGTTTTATTTTTTAACCGACCACAATCCGGACCGCATTGGACGGTCCGGTTTGACGGTTAACCGGTTAAATCCAAAATTCTTGTTTTGGGCCTTCAATTTTTATTTTTTTCATTTCGGGCTTAATTTTTATTTTTCAATTTTGGGCCCAAAAGAGATTATTTGGGCCTAAAAATTAAGAAAAACAACAATAATGAAATAAAAAAATACACAATTCGTCTCATAAGCATAAAAATATACATTTCATCCCATAAACATAAAAATACAAAAATGATGAAGATTAAATTATGCAAATTGAACCCAAGCAAGCATTCATTTTTTAGTCAGTTTATACACATAAAATAATAAGAACAAGGCATTCATTTTTCAGTCAACAAAAAGCCAAAAAGTGAAAGTGAATGTATTGTATTTGTCGGACATAGTAAATGACTGAATGTATATATATTTGTTATAGTTTTTAAATATTTACCGGTCCGTTCCGGTTAAACCGGCGGTTTGCCGCAGGTAATCCGTTAACCGAACCGGTTATTCTGGATTTTTAAAAAAATTAACCACCGGATTTTTAAGGCTTTCTTAACTGACCATTTAACCGATTCGCGGTCCGAATTGACGGTTTTTTTCGGTTAAAACCGGACCGTGAACACCCCCACTGCCGACCCCAGGCTCATCGAATCCGTGGGTCGCGGGTCATCGTAAATTATGTTGCATTCGATTTGGATATGCGATTCTTAAAAATGCAAAAGATGTTCGCATAATTAGATAATATTGCTTTGAGCACGATTTATCTTCTTTTATTTATGTGTAAGTGCTTGCCGAAAATGAAACGAGAACGAAATTTAGCACATTGCACATGTCAGGTAATATTACTTTTAACACGATTTATCTACTTTTGTTTATGTGGAAGTGCATTCCAATTGAATACAACTCACCATGTTCGCTTATTTAGGATGAAACCCCGCTGTGCCAAATGTTGGAATTATATCATGATCACTTGAGGTGTACTTATTGATTTTCCAGTAAATGGTGTCGTTAACGGTGGGGAATTGGTTTTCGGCAGGTACAAGCCTTCTAGAAATGAACATTGTACCTTCCATGTTACTTCATATTTATGGTTCCCATCCCCATTCTCCCTACTATTAGAAAGAAAAAGAAAACTTAAAATGAAGCTTACCCATAAATAGAGATGTCCAAACACAATACCATTGTCAAGTTCTAAGAGCAAACTCAGGTTCAGAGATTGACGGATACTATCATCTTAGCATTTAACAACAACAAACCAACTATCACGCCTCTCATTCCTTGCCCCAATCAACGCCAAGAAAAGCCAAAAGGATTAAAATGATTTTGACACTCCCAATAAGGTGCAGGAACGGCCGACTCTTCAGGATCACGTTTCATTGCATCGTCATAGAATTTACCATCTTCCGGAAGCATCTGCAAGAAGAGGGAAAGAGTCAGTACTAACTATGAATGTGTGATCGAACCTTAGGAGCTTCGATAAAGATGCATGTGCATTGCATGGTTCATCTATAAATCATGAATCACAAAACATAGTGCAAGCCAAAACTGTAAAACAAGTATATATATGTATGTATATAAAAATGGAAGCCATACTTCTTACTCCCGCAAGTATGGCAACAAAATGCATCATGTTAAGCCAAAAAAATATGAAGGGAAATAAAAGCTTACACAAAAGAACCAAACCCACAAGCAGGCGGTAGAGGCTGCCAATAATAATACTAATACTACGTGAACTTACAAAGAGTTGTTTGGGGTGTTTATTCCCGTTCAAGTTCATCTGCAGATGACTCGGCCAGGTGAGAGTAATCAATTTGCTAAAATCGTTCCCAATGGGCTCAGACCCCTCAATCGACACTAAGCTCCCGACAAAGTCAAAGCCCAAAGATATACAGGGGAATGTACGGGGAACTCCATACGTCCTAATAACTCGTCTCTCCACAATGTCGTAAAATGCTATATCTGAATCCCTGTCCAGCAGCATAAATTTCCCTCCGCCCACGGAGTTCAGGCAATAATGGAAATCAAAACCAAAAGAAAACAGACATGAACGAATCCAATGACCATTCGCTTCCATCGTCCACAACCAATATATATCCGTCGTCCTCTCTGTATCAGAAAGAGCCTTGGCCAGTTTCTCATACTCATCATCGGCAGAAAGATAATCCACATCATCCAGCACCGCCAATTTCCCCATCCAGTTCGTAAGAATAAGATAACGGAGCCCAGTGGTAATTCCCGCAGCGATTTTCTCCCGGTGAGAAGATAGTTGAGATGGGAAATAGGATCTCTTCAGCTTGTTGGTTTTGACATCAAATGATATGATAAAGGGATTCCCATTATAATCGAGGACAGCCCAGTGGGGGGAATTCCCGACAAACACATTGCAGGAGGTGGTTGGGACCACATTCACAGGGTGTGAGGGGTGATAGAAAGAAGGGTGGTTGGTGAGGTCAATCTCCTTCCAAGTGTTAATATCCGAGGACCAGACCTCGGCCAAGGTTTCTCTGCATTTCTGCGAAATGATTCTAACCACCTTGTACACGTCAGACTCTTCGTCCCAGCAGAAGGCGAATGTGGCCTGATAATTGGAAAAGCGGCGTAACTCGTGGATGCCCATGGGAAGTTTCTTTGAGAGCCCAGTGCATGGGTTCCATATCCAGATGTCATTGGGGGTCGGCCAGCTGCAGTACATCCAGTTGCCAGTGGAGCAGATCAGGCCGTTGATCGAGCCAATAATCAATGTGTCCGGGGAAGAGCAAACGAGGCCTGATTGGGGGGGTTTTAGTGGGTTCTTGTCTCTGTCGTGGAAAAGGACTTGGGGATCGGATTCGGACCGGGCACGGTCAAGCTGTGCAGAGATGAATTTTGGTGAAGTCGTTATGGAGAGCCAACTACTGCATACGCATCTACAGACGGCGATGTGCTTTGCGTGTAGCCGGAGAAGGACCAGGGTTGTTTCGTTGTTCGGCAGGCTGCATTCTTCTTTTAAATTACGGTTTTCTTTTATTGGGAAAACTGATGTATATTTGAACCTTTTATTGTAACCACTGCCACCTCCAATGTTTCCAAGCCGATGGATTCCGAGACTCCCTGTTTGGAGGGTAAAAAGAACATCATGAATGGAAGAAAAGAAAACGGACGCATCCATTCAGGAGCAAATCAAAAAGAAAGAGGGAGGTGAGGGTGCATGTGTTTATCTTACATGACCAGATTCAGATTAATTAAAGTGCAATGAATCAGTGATCAGAGTTCATAATCATAGAGGTGAAGAGAGGTCAAATTTCCTCTTTAATGCCATGTCGGTGTCGTCGTTGTTTACCTATAAATATAGGCTCTTTCAGGAGACAACACCTCAGTATGAAATCTTGTCACGTGCCAATTTTCAAATGCATGCATCAGATGGATAGATTTTTTTTATTATTATGGCTCGAGAAGAACACTTACCTAGAGATTTTACCAATTCATTGTGTCCACTGTTTAGTGTTGCTTTTCCAGGACCCATTGGAGGGGGAGAAAACCTTGCAGCAGCTCCCTTGAGATGCATTCGCTGAAAAAATAATAANCAGAATGGGAACCAAACAGGGAATCAGAAACACTCACACCTACCTTAATTTATTTAGCAAGGAATGGACAACAAAAATGAAATACACATCATCCAGCCAGTGTTTATGGCATTATGTCTTGATTTTATAAATAACGTTCAATGGCAAAGACAAAATGGATAAAACAGACAAGAAAAATAAATCTAAGAGATAGACTCATTTTTAAAGCTGGCCATCACTACGTACAACAGACGCATATGACTTCTTCTAAATTTGATCGTGTTTGGCACTGGACTTAACCACCAGCTCTTTATTATCCCGTACCTCATCACCGAACTCGGATCTTGGAACTTCTACTCCACCAAAGAACACACCGTCGCCATCCTCTGATGGACTGTAAACTTCATCTGCAATGGTTGATTCCTCTATAGTAACTCAGAGAGCAATGGATAGAACAAGAAAAGAAGAATGTACAGAAGGGGTAGGGTTACCTTGTGTTGTGATCGGACGCACCACAATATCACTTCCTAAAGTTGGGTTCCCGTTGACAATATCCACATATCGAAACAGGTCGCTTAAAACAAAGTAGCCATTATCTTGTGGAGCAAGAACGAAGTGTTGGGTGAAACTTTTAACTACATTGTCATGCCCCACGAGATGGCCAGTGACAACAACATGAACTTCACCTACAAAAGACTCCAATGAATCCACCGACTTGATCTCAACTCTTAAGTCCCCATAGTTGAGCGAGACAATCTTCTCTTTGATGGCCTTCATGGTTAAGCCACATCAACAACAGGGAAAAAAGAATTTAAAATAAAAAAGAGCCATCCAAGCTCAATATTCTAATAAGAAACAGGAAACATACCACCAAATGTACTAGAAATACAACAGAATAAACGGCCCTATGAATAATAAGGAACAGGTAAACGGTAGTTTACTTGACAGGTTGTGGTGACACTCATGGAGCCATCCTCCTCGACACGACCGATGATACTCTTGTCTTGATAGAATTTATAAGCCAACTCCGGCGAGCTATGCAGAATGGTATAGTATTTCTCTACAAATACTCTCCCAACCTACCGTCCATAAGAAATAACTCATAGCTAGTATGAATAGATAAAATATATTTGAACCCAAAAAAAAAATTAAAAAGCTCACATTTTGTGCAGAAACAGTTTGCTGATATCCCACTGCCGCTGCCATTTTCGGATAAATAAACTTAACTTCAAGCAATCATCAGCCTACAGAGAAACAGACATGAGAAATAAGCTCAATAACTATAAGCGTGTTATGAAAAAGGAAGATTTAAGGATGGTGATGATCGGAGAAAGGGAAAGGGAAGGATATTTGGGGGATGTTTGTTTAATAGGGATAGTCAAAAGCCCAATATTATTTAAAATACATATTGAAAATGTTTTTTTGTTCAAATGACCCTTCTATTAAATAAAAATAAATAAATATTTAAAATATCAAAAATGTCCTTATATAATTATAAAAAAAAAACAAAAAGATTTTCAATAGAAGTTCGATGTTCTCGGTCGAAATTTCTTCTTCTCATTCTCTTCTCTGATTCTGATTCTCTTCAAGAAGAAGAAAACAAAAATTTTATAAATTTTAAATTTTATATGGCAAAACAAATGTGTTGATGGTAGAAGAAGACCAAAACAATATATTATCTTGAAGAAAGGTGGAAGAAATTTTTTTTTGCTAGGGTTTGTTGTTATTTTAATTTGATAAGCATTTTAGTTCATAAAAATCATTATAAACATTTTTAGTTTCATGTTTATCATGTTTTTTGTGTCATGAAGGGTATTTTTTTCATTTTTTAGTTCATGATATGAATAACGAATGTACCGGCGTTATCTTAGGTTGATAACGATTGTACAATCGTTATTTTAAGAATAACTCATAAAAAATGCAGATTTGTTGTGTGATTGTTTTATAACGAATGTGGATTCGCTATCTGAATAATATATCTAAGTGTAGGTTTGTTATGACATAACGAATGTAGTTTCATTTTTTTTATGATATAACGAATGTAGATTCATTATGCCATAACTAATGTAGTTATAAATTATAACTAAAATACTCTTGTTAGTGTTTATTTTCATTCCGATCGATTAAAATACACATATACATTCGTTATAAATGACATTAGAAATCACTACCTATACCAAAAATTTTTAAAGAGATAATGAAAGTTGTTTGTTTTAAAAAATAATTATTTAAGTTTATTATAATAATAATCTTTGATAAAAAGTAAAAAATACAAACCACAAGGTATAATAATAATTATTTAATTTTATTATAATAATAATAGTTCATAAAAAGTTATTTAATTATTTAATTTTATTATATAGCGAATGCATAGGTGTATTTCATCGTCCGGGAAGAAAATACAAACCACAAAGAAGGTACACTCGTTATCGAGTAATAAATGACACATATACATTTGTTATTTAATAAATTATACCGAAAGTACTATCGTTAGTGTTTTATTTTCATCACGGTCGATTAGGTACACATATTCATTCGTTATGTATGACGTTAGGGAGAATGCACTCTCTTTATATGTTTGTTTTACAAATTATATATAAATAAGAATCGTTATTATAGTATTTCGTTCGAAATGACTTGAATTATTTATGTACACATATTCATTCGTTATGTATGACTTTACAAATAATTAACTTTCCTTATAGTATCCACTACGAATAACGAAAGTTATTTGTTTGTTTAAGAAAATAGATAAAACTAACAATCGTTATTGTAGTATTTCGATCGAAATTACTTGAATTATTTCTTTTTAAGGAAAAAATATCGTCGATACATACACATATTCATTCGTTATGTATGGCTTTACGAATAATTAACTCTCGTTATAGTATTTCACTATGAATAACGAAAGCTATTTGTTTGTTTAAGAAAATAGGTAAAACTAACAATCGTTATTGTAGTATTTCGATCGAAATTACTTGAATTATTTCTTTTTAAGGAAAAAATATCGTCGTTGAGTACACATATTCATCCGTTATGTATGACTTTACGAATAATTAACTCTCGTTATAGTATTTCACTATGAATAACGAAAGCTATTTGTTTGTTTAAGAAAATAGATAAAACTAACAATCATTATTGTAGTATTTCGATCGAAATTACTTGAGTTATTTCTTTTAAGTAAAAAATATCGTCGTTGAGTACACATATTTATTCGTTATGTATGACTTTACGAATAATTAACTCTCGCTATAGTATTTCACTATGAATAACGAAAGCTATTTGTTTGTTTAAGAAAATAGATAAAACTAACAATCGTTATTGTAGCGAATGTGCATTTGTTATAACGAATGTAAAGAATGTGGATTTAATGAAAAAAACAACCTTAATGAATGTGCATTTGTTATAACGAATGTAACAAATACAATATAGAAATCAATGTCATAAATAAACCATAAATCAACCATTTATAAATACTAATAATTAAAATTTTGAATATGCAAATGCGTAGAATTTTATATGTAAATGGTGCAAATCTATGTTTTGAGATGACAGAGAAAAGTTGTAAAAGTAAATCGATCTCAGGCGGCCCGGATAGTAAGGCCGGCCCAATCTCAAAATTGGCCAGAATATATAGTATATGGGCCGGGCTATTCTTGAATATGACACAGCCTACCTAACTTAAGGAGTCGGCTTGTAAGAATTGGGTTGGGCCCCACACGGGCCCTGCATCCGAAGAAGATATTTATTTTCGGCTAAAGTACATAGAGACGCCTCAAAGTAAAGCTAATACCTAAAAAGCGATATGCAAAAGTTAATTACAACTTTACGAGCTCCTTCAATTTTAGGACTTCGGAAACGTCGCTATTATAACCTTGTCAGACTTGACACTTTTTTGAGTTTAAAGAGTAATTACCATTTTTATCCATTAAAACTTAATTAATTCCAGCAATAAACGTTGTTAATGACCAACTCATACTATTAGCTCATTTTCTCTCTCCAATAAGTATATCAAATAATTAAATTCCACATTTAAATTTATATATTTTTTTATTTTAAATTGCTCCAGTCTCTTCTTTTTTTTAACCCTTTTTGTGTGTTCTCTTGAGTTTCATCTCTAGCCTACCCCGATTTGCTTGGGACCAAAGACTTTGTTGTTGTTGTTATTTTAAAATTATATTTATAAACCAATTTTTCTACCATAATTTTATATCTAGATTGTTTTAAATTTATTATAAGTGTGTAAACCATTACAAGAATACTTTTTAAATTTATTATAGGTTTATAAAACATTACAAGAATATAAACTATAAATTTAAATTTATATATGGTTTATTTTCAGTTTATTATACAAGAAAAAATCACTTTATTATACATGAAAAAATTATATAGAGTTTATTTTCAATTTATTATAATTATAAAATAATACTTTTTTCCACAGAAAAATATAAATTTGTATATATTTTATTTTCATAATACGGCTATTGATAAACATAATAAAATCATAGATAAACATCAAAACACTAAAAAAAAAACAACTTTAAAAAAACTTTCGGGAATTAACACACGAAATGAAAAACCTAATAAAATCATTGATAAACATCAAAACACTCAAAGAACTACTTTAAAAAAACTTCCGGAAATTAACAAACGAAATGAAAAACCTAATAAAATCATAGATAAACATCAAAACACTCAAAGAACTACTTTAAAAAAACTTCCAGAAATTAACAAACGAAACGAAATCATAGATAAACATCAACATCAAATTAACATTAAAAAGCTACTTTAATTTAGTTTTTTCTAAATATTAACATACATAAATTAGAAAAAAAGGAAATCGAAGCCATAAATAAAAAAAAAAAAGAAACGCAGCCCATCACTTTTTCGATCTTCAAATCCCCATTTTCAGCTCTTTTCTCGACACTTGTTTTCTCCTTGTTGATAACACCAGCTCAAGCTTCTGTTTCCTCGACCTTTGCAATCAGTTTCGCCACAAATCGAGACGAATACGCGTACAGTGCAAATAGTCAAAAAGCATCCGCGCGTCTACTTTGGCGACTCATGGGATTCCATCTGAATGAGCACGCAAGCATTTTCATAACTCAGAAATATAGGCTTTAACAACACAAAACTCATCCCATGATTCATATTTCAGGTAAAAAATATTTAACTAAAATAAACTCAAGATAAACATCAAATTAACTCTAACAATCTACTTTCAAAGAACTTTTTAAAAATTATTCAAGAGTGATCCAATAAGAGCTCTCAAACAGACCATGGACTCGCTAGAATTCTATCTTCAAATCAGATCTTAAATCCATAACAAAAAAAAAAAAAGAATTAACAATTTCCGAAACCCTAAATCACTAACCCAAACCTCGAGGCGGCATACGTTGCCGGCGGCGGGAATAGGGAGACGGTAAAAAAATTGTGATATTAAATCCTGAGGTGCTGCTGGAATTCTATCTTCAAATTTTCAGATCTTAAATCTAGCAACTCATACATCTAGATCAATCAATGAAACCTCCACAGGAAAAAAAAATTAAATTTTGTGAAACCCTGATTAACCCACACTTCGAGAGGGAGACGATCTCGGAGACAGGGCGAGATGGCGCCGAGATGCAGACCCTCCGCTGGCGTCGGGAATCACCCCATGGCCAGAAAGGCGGAGCCCGAAGGATATGGCTGCCCATCACTGGTCCAACCTATGGTTGGAGGAGCGGAGCAAGCCGCGGCGGCAGATGGAGAGGAGGGGCGCCGAATACTGAGATTTGCTTTTTGAACGGAGAGAATTAAAGCCGAGAGGAAGTGGATCTGTTGGTAGAAATAAAACTCATGGTGTATCTTTAGCCTTTGGAGAAATCGTACAAGTGGAACGTAAAAGTCAAAAATGATAATAAAAAACTAATATCGTCTTTAAAGAAAAAAAAAAAACTTATGAGAGACGTGCACCGGGTCATTCTTTCAAAAAACTTTATGTGAATTAGCACCTCTAGAAGGACATTGACATTGAGCTATTGATATCGCTAAAGGAAAAACTCTAATAGAAAATAAAAATTTTATGCGAGTTTAAGAAAAATCTTTAATCATAAAAGAACCAATTAGACAATCTGTTTCAGATCTGAAAGAATAAATAATTTATCCAGTAAGTTAAAACAATTAACAAGGTAAAATATCTGAAATGGTAAATAACTGAAGTGAAATTGTTGGTAGCACTCATGTGAGGCCACTATAAGTAGGGGTAGCATCGGATCTTCCGATGTTTAAATCGCGTTGAGTAGATGGCTATACCATTGTGTAGGAATTAAGTAGGGGTAGCATCGGATCTTCCGATGTTTAAATTGCGTTGAGTAGATGGCTATACCATTGTGTAGGAATTAATCATTAGTGACAATTTTAAAGATGGTCCC